CCCGGACAGTTTGCAGGGAACAGCCCAGGCTCTGCCCCCCTGGAGGGTTTTGTGCCCCCAAATCCCTCAGGGAAACCCAGCAGGTTCTGCCCCCCAACGTGCTTTGCCTCCCTTTCTCTTCCAGCTCACAATTCCTGCCTGGAAACCCCCTCCCAGGGAATTCCAAAGCCAATAATGGGGTGCAGACCCCACAACACCCTTGGATCAGCCCCCCCAGCCACACCTCGGCTTTTGGGGGGGCTCCAACTCCTGCAAAACCACTGCCAGGAAAATCCAACCGCCGGGAAAGGGCCGTTCCCACCCATCCCACCACATCCCAGCCCATCCCAAAACAAGGCACTTTGGGTTCCTTGCCCATGGAGGGAGAGAAATCCATTATCTTCTTCACAGGTGAGGTGGATTTTGTCATTGGAGCAGGAAAACCTCAGGCAAGGCAGCAAGAGGCTTCGGATCCTGCTGTGTTCCCATCCGAATATTCCCAGGAAACAGGCCTGGATTTGAAATGAAGGCGGCAAAAACTGGTTCATTTTGTCCCAAAAACCCCCATGTTAACTAAAAAAAAAAAACAGTGGGAGAGGATGAGGGGGCATCACAGCTCTGTTTATTCCAGCCATTGATGAGCAGCTCCTTGGATTTGAGCAGGGAATCGGGATTATGGAGCACAGGGATGCAAAATAATCATAATATTATATAATTACAATGATAAAGTCTCGTTATAATGGGATCAACGGCCTCTCCCTGGGGGATTCTCCGTCCCAGGAGCCACGTGCAGGACCAGCACTGACCCAGCTTAACCTGAGACACAGAAATTTGGGATAATTCAACCTGGATTTTCAGTGGGAAGTCTCCAATTCACACGTCCCACGTGAGATTTTGGGAACGAAACCCTTGGCTCCGGGAAAAGAAAGAAGTATTTTTGCAACGAAGGCAGAAACACCAGTTGGACTTCTGGAGGCAGGAACGAGCTCTTACAGCAGGATAAAAATTATGTGGAAAAACCAGCATAATTTCTGGGATCAGTCTTTCCCACCTCATCCTCATTCCCTGCCTCCCAGCAGCATCCCAGTGCCAGGATCCCAGTGCCAGGATCCCAGTGCCAGGATCCCAGCATCCCAGAGAGCCTCAGCAGCAGAAGCAGCACATTCCTACAAGTTTCCACTACAGTTAGAACAAAAAACCATCAATTAAACAGCAAACCTGGACCCTCCCAGGAGAGCAAAGAATTCCATTCTTTCCTGGACCCTCCCAGGAGTGCAAAGAATTCCATTCTTTCCTGGCCCTTCCCAGGAGGGCAAAGAGCTGCTCCAACCAACAAACCCACCACAATGTGAGAAATCTGGAGGTAAAAACACACTGGTATTAAAGAGAGAGATTCAACCCTAAGAAATCCCATTCCATTAGGACTTGGAATAAAAATTCCTTAGGACTTGGAACAAAAAACTCCTTAAGGAACTTGGATTAAAGTTCAGGATCCCAGCAGGGTGGTGACAGGACACCTCGTTCCCAACAGAGCTGCCTCTGGGATTTTATCCCGTGTCAGCTCCTGATCCTCACTTTGCTTTGGGATTTCAGAACCAGGATCCCTCCACCATTCCCTTTTCCCAGCCAATTCCATTCTTTCCTGGACCTTCCCAGGAGTGCAAAGAGCTGCTCCAGGCAACAAGCCTACCACAAATATCCCAAATTTGAGAAACTTGGGGTAAAAACACACTTGTATTAGAGAAAAGAGAGAGATTCAACCCTAATAAATCCCATTTCAGTAGGTCTTGGAGTAAAAATTCCTCAGGACTTGGATTAAAGATCAGGATCCCAGCAGGGTGGTGACAGGACACCTCGTTCCCAATGGAGCTCCCTCTGGGATTTTATCCCGTGTCAGCTCCTGATCCTCACTTTGCTTTGGGATTTCAGAACCAGAATTCCTCCCCCATTTCCTTTTCCCAGCCAATTCCATTCTTCCCAGAGCCACCCCAGCTCTTCCCAACCACCCCCCTGGGAGGTCTGGGATGCCCCAACATCGTTCCACAGTCAGTAAATCACCGACTTCAAGTTGTTCTTTCCAGTCTTTATTGGAAGCGCAAACCTCTGGGAAGAACAACTCCCTGCTGGAAGCTCCTGTGGCTGCCCCGGGTGGAAGCTGTGTCTGGGTGGAGCCCCTGGGGGGGTTCCATGGAGATTCCAAGGGGGATACACGGAGGTTCCAGGGGGATACACGGAGGTTCCGGGGTTTACGCAGCCGTCGCCTTCTGCTTGTAGGTCGCCATCATCTTCTTGATCTCAGCAATGGCCTTCCCAGGGTTCAGACCCTGCAGGGAAGAGTTGGTCAGTTCCTCTGGAAAACCCGGAGCATCCTTCCTCCCTCCCACGCATCCAAGTCAGAGTAAACTCACAAATATGCTACAAATACTCTACTCAGAAACAGCTGGGACAGGAGCTGCTCAACACCCCTTTTTCCCCCCAAAAGCTGGAGGAAAATGTGATGTTGTGCCTCCTTTCAAGCACTGGGAGGTTCCAGGATGGATCCCAGTTTCACAAATATGCTGCTTCCCATGACAATAATTGGCAGAGGAGCTGCTCAACACCCTTTTTTCCCCAAAAGCTGGAGGAAAATACGACATTGTGCCTCCTTTCAAGCACTGGAGGTTCCAGGATGGATCCCAACTCCCAAATATGCTGCTACTCAAAAATAGTTGGTAGAGGATGTGCTCAACACCCCTTTTTCTCCCTAAAAGCTGGAGTAAAATGTGATGATGTGCTTCCTTTCAAGCACTGGGAGGTTCCAGGATGGATCCAAGTCGTAGTAAACTCACAAATATGCTGCTTCTCATAACAATAACTGATAGAGGAGCTGCTCAATATCCCTTTTTTCCCTAAAAGCTGGAGGAAAATAGGACACTGTGCTTCCTTTTAAAGGCTGGGAGGTTCCAGGATGGATTTAAGTCACAGTAAACTCACAAATATCCTGCTACTCAACCTTTCTTCCCCTAAAATTTGGAGTTCAGTGTGATGTGGTTCCTCCTTCCAAGCACTGGAAGTTCCAGGACAGATCCCAGCTCCCAAATATGCTGCTACTCATAGGAAGAGTTGGCAGAGGAGCTGCTCAGCCCCTCTTTGCCCTAAAACCTGGACTCCAGCCTAACTGAGGCTGCATTTGCAGAGCTGGTTGAGGAGGGTCAGGACACCCAGGGCCAGCTCAGGCCCTGCCCCAGGCAGGGGGGGCATTCCAGGGAGGTCAGGCTGTGCTGAGCCAGCTCTGCTTTATCCAGCCTCCACTTCCATGGGAAGAGCAGAGCAGCCTGGAGCAGGCAGGGAGCTGGGAGCTCTCCTGGAGGCTGGAGCAGCAGCACCTCCCTGTGCCTGCAGACAAACACTCCCTTGGCTTTGGAGTCGGGTTTAATCAGCAACGCCAGGATCAAAGGGGAGAAGGAGCTGTGGGGACTTTAATGAAGCTCAAGCAGGACTGAATTCCACATTTTTATGGGTGTTTGGACTTCTGGAGGCAGGAAACAGGCTTGGAGCAGCCTGGCAGGAACTGGAATTATAAACCAAGAAAAGCTGTGTGTGGAGGCACTGGGGGGGTGAACAAGGTCGAGGCACAACATGGAAATGCTCCAGCTGAGCTTCCCTCAGGTTTTCCTACAAAATAGACCCACTTCCCATTGCAAAGGTCCTTAATCCTGCAGCACTGGTGCCAAAGCAAGCAATCCTAAGCCCAAAAGGAGAGGGGGATTCTGTGTGGGACAGAGAATGAGTAGGAATTACCCCTGGTGCAGATCCCACCAGGTCTTCCACACTGATCAGGACAGCCAGGACTAGGGAATGTGAGTGGGAACATGTTATTAACCATAAATCTGCCTCACATTTCAGCTCAAGTGCTGTTTCCCTACATTCCTACAAACAGCCAAGTCTTGGGTTTCACCTTCCCCTTCAGCTGAGCTCTGGGTCACCCCAGGTGATGAGCCAGCTCCCTAAAAAAGGAGGAATTATGGGCTGTCAGGGAATCACTCTGGAAAAATACCCCCACAAATGAGCCTGAGCTCCTGACAGACACATCCTCCCAGATCTCAGGCAGCTCATCCTCCCCACACTTGTGATCCACTCAAACATTTCCCACTATTCCACAGCCCAAGGAACGATTCCCCCACCAGGTGCAGGGAAAGGTTGTCTGGAAAACAGCAGAGCTGCTGGGAAAGCAGAACTCCGTCAGCAGGGTTAGATGGGATATTGGGAAGGAATCCTTCCCTGGGAGGGTGGGGAGGCCCTGGCACAGGGTGCCCAGAGAAGCTGTGGCTGCCCCAGCCCTGGAAGTGTCCAAGGCCAGGTTGGAGCAACCTGGGACAGTGGAAGGTGTCCCTGCCCATGGCAGGGGGGGCAATGGGATGAGCTTTGAGGTCCCTCCAAACCCAGACCATTCCAGGACTTGCTCTGCCCAACAACAGGCACAAGGTCACTCAAGATGACGAAGAGGCATGGTCTGATTTGGGCAAGTTTGCTCAATTTTCCAAAGAAATTCCAGAGAGAACTTCCCTGGAGCATTTCTGGCAGTGCCCCACCATCCCACTCCTAAATCCTGGGGACAGAAAGGCCCTCAAAGCCCAGCTGAGGAGGAAGGGATGTGTGATCCAGCCCCTGCCCCAGCCCTGCATGCTCCCGGCTGCAGGAACGCTGGGATTCACAGGGCTGAGTGAGTCAGGGCAAGGTTGAGGAAAAGAGAAACCCAAGAGAATCTTTTCCCATCAGTGTCAAGCTGGGTGCATGGAAAGGAGCCAGGAACTCCAGTAAGGACATGGAGAAGGCTTTGGGGAGCCCTCGGTGTGGCCTGACAGTACCTCAAGGGGGGTTATGGAAAGGAGGGGGAGGGACGGATTGTGACGGGACAATGGTTTAAACTGCCAGAGGGCAGGGACAGATGGGATTTTGGGAAGGAATTCCTGGTTGTGAGGGTGGGGAGGCCCTGGCACAGGGTGCCCAGAGAAGCTGTGGCTGCCCCATCCCTGGAAGTGTCCAGGGATGTTGCTGGAGCAACTGGGGCTAGTGGAAGGTGTCCCTGCCTGTGGCAGGGCTGGGATGGGATGAGCTTTAAGGTCCCTCCCAACCCAACCCATTCCAGGCCTGTCTGAGGACACATCCCCACCTTGGGGCAGGTCCTGGTGCAGTTCATGATGGTGTGGCAGCGGTACAGGGAGAAGGGGTCCTGCAGCTGGGCCAGCCGCTCCTCCGTGTAGTCGTCCCGGGAGTCGATCATCCAGCGGTAGGCCTGGAAAGCAGAGGATCTCACAGCCCAGGAATGCTCCTCAGGGGGCTGCCACCAACCAGGGGGAGAGTGCAACCATCCCACACGGGAATTCTGGGCCGGGATGGGGTTGTTTCACCATCTGCAAACAGGGGTACTGGGAACAGAGGGACCCTCACCTGCATGAGGACGGCGGGGCCCAGGTACTTGTCCCCGTTCCACCAGTAGCTGGGGCAGCTGGTGCTGCAGCAGGCACACAGGATGCACTCGTAGAGCCCGTCCTGGGGGGCACAGCACACTCTGTCACTGCAGGAACTCCCCACAGGGGCACTGCCACCAGCACCACCCTCCCCTCCGGAACCGCCACCAAACCCTTCCCGGCGGGGGAAGCGCTGCTGGAGCAAAGCAACTGAAACAAGGCACACAGAATCCCCCCAGCCCAACCCAGGACCCCCAGCTCAGGGCCAGGAGCTGGAATTTGACAGTCCTTGTGGGTCCCTTCCCACTCAGGATATTCTGATTTTATGACCCACATAATAAACCAGTGTTTGTGACAACAGGGGGAAATGTGTGAACTGAAGGAAAACGTGTAAGTTGCTTGATTTTCCTGCATTCCTTCCTTCCTTCCAGCCTGTCCCAGTGAGGGAAGGAACAGACAGGTCACCAGGTAACAATTCAAGGCCATGCTACAGAAAGAAGGAAGAGCAAAGTCTGCCCAGCAGCCTCCAGGAGAGCCCGGAGCTTGTCCTGGAGAGCAGGCACGGGAACGGTGCCAGCCTTCAGTCACTGCCCCATTTTTATACTGAACAAGGACGTTTTCTTTCAGGCACAGAGGAACAGAAAGTTAGTCCTACACAGAAGTCATTCAGGTACTTTTAGTTTTGCTTATTTCTACTTGATTAAGAAAAAAAATTGCCCCGGACACAAGAGAAACTGAGGAGCTGAGGGTCTCCAAAGTCTCTTTGTAGCTCCTCAACCTCCCCCAAACTAAAAGACAAGAGTCCAACCCAACTTCATTTAAGTATCTGAAAGTTATTTTGGAAAAAAAGGCTCATTAAATTCAGTTTTGGAAGATCCCTGATACCAGAACTCCCAGCAGCTTGGAGCAAGCCTTTGGAAAGTCTCGTCAAGAGGGAGGTCAGAGTGACCCCCCATCTAAATTTGTCTCATTTCTAATTGCACCATTTCACAGGATTTACAGAAAAAGGGGGGAGTTTTTCAGCTGGCACCATATCCAGGTTTGTCCTGCACCCAAAGGAAGAGCAAGCTCAGCCCTGAGATCAAAGGCAGGTTCCCCAGCTGTGCCCGGGGTGAGGCAGCTCTGCCCTCCCTTCCAGGTTCCCTGATTTCTCCTGGAATGAGAAAGCGATTCCAAGGAGGGGGAAAATCCCTTCAGTCCTTACACATGGATCAGATAACACTGGGAAGTGGAGGAGAAGGAATTGTTGCCTTTGGATAGAGATTCTTTCACCCTGTGGTTGTTCAGATGTCACAGTCACTGTCGACACCTGGGACTGGGCTATTATGGGATGTCCCTGCAGATACATACAGTGGGATCCTCCCAAAGATCTCTGCAGCTCAGGTTTTTCCCTGAATTCCCTTTTTGCTGTTCATATCCACCTCTGCTTTCCCAAAATCCAGCCCTGGTGCCTCCTCAGTGACAGCACTGCTGTGGAGCAGGCTGAGCTTTGGATCATGGAATGGTGGATCCACCAAGGCAGGTTAGAGGGGAAAAAACCTGCTGATTTCCTGATCCTGACTGTGGCAGCCAGGGAAACCCACCCCAAAACTTACCCACACTCTCAGCTTTTTAAAAAGCTCTTATGGCCCAGTTGTTCCTCAGACACCCTTCAGCTTCCTGCAGAAATTTTGGATCTCCACCACCAAAACCATCCCCTCAAAATAACGCTCTGCTCGAGACAGACACCCAAAAACCTGCACTCCCGCTCGTGTCTCCACATCCACAAGGACTTGGATGAGTTTTCCAGGCTGTAAATCCCAGCAAGCAGCGACACGAGAGCTCTGCCCCGTGTGCCACAGGCCAGGCAGACACACAGATCCCAGCCTTATCCCCCCGGAACAGGACAAGCCTGGAGCCTGCCCAGCGTCTCCACAACACAGGGTTGCAGTGGGAATGGGATCAGAGTGCCCAGGGCAGCCCCAGCTCCAGCTCCTGGGCCAACACCCCCCTGGGCAGTGGCCCTGCCGTGCCCTGCACCGCGGGGACAGGTCCCACCGCGCCGGGGCTGCGGCAGCTGCGGGCAATGAGAACCTGCTGCACATCAAGGTTTAAGCCTGGTCTTATCTGGGAGGGGCTTTAAGGGGGGAGAAGAAGCAGTGACCAGTTTCTGACGGTCTTCTATGGACTGCAGGTACTGCTGCTGGCCCTCCTTGGACTTGTCCTTCTTCTTCAGGTAGGGCTCGATGGATTTGTACTGGGCATAGAAGTTACTCAGGTCCTGAGGGTCACAGAGCAGAGAGGTCACAGTTATTAGGATGAATTTTATACAATTACAGAATATCCTGAGCTGGAAGGGACTGAGTCCAACTCCTGGCCCTGCCCAGACACCCCAACAATCCCCCCTGTCCCTCAGAGCGTTGTCCAAACCCTCCTGGAGCTCTGGCAGCCTTGGGGCCGTGGCACTGCCCTGGGGAGCCTGGTCAGTGCCCAACACCCTCTGGGGAAAGAACCTTCTCCTAATGTCCCACCTGACCCTCCCTGGCACAGCCTCGTGTCACAGCAGACCAAAGTTCTGCAGCAGAGATCCAACACCTGCCCCACTCCAACAAAAGGTGGCATCTCCTACCTCGACCTGCCACATTCCTCCAGGGGAGGACAGATTTAGTCACTGCAGACCCACCCAAAACCAGCAGCACGAGGAACACGTGAAATGGGAGACCTGATCTTGGCTGGCACCTCCCAGTGCCATCCTTCCCACCCCAACCTGCCTGGAACGGTGCCAGCCACGGTCCCAAGCTGGCACTCACCGGGACAAGGTCCTTCACCACATACATGTGGGGCAGAGGGTAGATTTTGGTGACCTTGCTGAGATCAGAGTCGATTTTTTTGATGCAGGCCAGCGTGTTCCCCCCTCCAATGTTCATGGCACAGGAGCCACAGATGCCTGAGTGGGAGAAAAGCAGTAAAGGGTTAAATTTGCCCTCTTAAAGAAGATCCTCTTGGCCCCAAACCTGCCCCTGGGCTGTCCTGAAGAAACTCTACGTGAGAAGAAAAACGCCAGGAGTTGCCACTGGGCCAAACATGTTGTTACTTAAATAAAAAACAAATGCAGGAGTCGCTTTCATCAAAGTCCAAACACATTCTCAGTGGTGAAGCTCCTTCCACAACACAAAACAAGTGGCTTGGACACCTCATGGCTTCCAAATCATTCATTAGGTTTAAGTTTTTCGGGAGGGGAACACATTGAGCTTTGCTCAGAGGTTTGAAGCACGAGGTTGTGTTGGTGTGAGGCAGCTAAAAATAAGATTATAACGTGGGCAACTGATGCATCTTCATCAGTTATGGAATTACAGGATTGTTGGGGTGGAAGGGAGATCTGGAGATCATCCAGTCCAACCGCCTGCCAAGGCAGGGTCACCTGGAGCAGGTGACACAGGAATGGGTCTGGAATGTCTCTGGAGAGGGAGACTCCAGGCCCTCCTTGGGCAGCTCTGCCACCTTCCACGGAAACAATTTCTTCCAGATGTTCAGGTGGAACTTCTTGTACTTTAGTTTATGGCCATTGCTCCTCATCCTGTCGTTGGGCACCCTGGGAAGAGTCTGGCACCATCCTCCTGGAGATATTTTATATGGATTCATGAGATCCCCTCTCAGTCTTCTCTTCTCTGGACTAACCAGGCTCAGCCCCCACAGTCTCTCCCTCATCAGAGAGCAGAAAAATGGTCCAAAGCATCCCTGCAAATCAGGACTATAAACCCAGATCCCTCAGACAGGAGGATTTTGGTGCCTGTGCAGAGCAGTGCCATGAGCTGCGCTGCCAAAGGTGAGAGGACAGACACTGCCCAGAGCCAGCAGCACAAAACCAGCCTAATAAACAGATTAAATGACATCACTAACGACCTTCAGTAAGAAAAGGATCAGCTGCAGCCCAGGAAAGCCAAGCTCGACAAGAAAAGCACTGCAGAAGTGTCCCAGATACTCCTCATGTGAGAAGGAGACAAATGCTGGAAGGGCAAAACTCCAATTTCCAAGGATTTTCCCCATCCCAGCTGAGCTGAGTGCCAGGAATGTCCCTGCCAGTCAGCCCTGCTGCCAGGCTCCCCTGGCACTGCACCAGGGTCATTCCTCCCGCTGCAGAAACGGTGACAAGTATTTTCCAGCCAGGGCTGCAGCCTCAGGACCTCGTGCTCCCAGCAGGAATGTGGGAGCTGGGCTGTTTTTTGCCCTGCATGGCAGAAAAGGGGCAAGATCGAACCAGCCCAGCTTGAAAACCTGTCTTCTGCAAGGAAAGTATTCAGGGCAATGCATTCCAGCCTGGGAATCTTTTGGCTATCTAAATATCAGACACTGAGAACAAGCATTCCCCATGGAATTCCTCCACCTGCTATGCAGATTCCAGAGGAAACGGCTGCGTTGGAGCTTTTCATTTCCATCCGAGTCCAAACATCTTTAGGCAGCAACTGGCCTTAAACTTCTCCTCCTTGCAAACCCACCTCATTAAATCCAAAGCTGTTCCACAAAGGAATGCATTTCACAACAGCCTCCCTTCTTGCTTTTCCACAACTCAGCATCCCAACGTGACCCCGAAACGAGGAGGATTTTTACAGGGAAAGTCACCCAACAGGGAAGTTTTACTGCAGCTCCAGACCTGCTGATTTGTACCTGCATGAGGAGCAGCCACAACAGAAAACCACCAGCTGCCCTTTTCCTCAATCAATCCCTGGGCTTAGTCAAAGGGCCAAGAAAAAGATTCCTGAAGCTATTCCTAGAAGTCCTAAGTGCTCTTCCAGTTACACCCTGTCTTATTTCCACAGCAGCACTGAAACAGCCCCTACAACTCGTTCCCATTCCGTCTCTGCCCCCTCAGTCTGGCTGCTGGAATCTCTCCTTGGATTTGCCCACGCAGCCCAGCACTGGAGGGCAGCAGGATGAACCAGATCAGGAGAGAAACTGGAACAACTGGGGCTGAGCTGTGTGATTACACCCTCTGAGCACGAGCTCTGCCTTTGCTGCTCCATTCACTGAGTGTTTCTTACATGCAGGTGGAAGAGTTTTAAAGAGTTACACATCCACTGTCAGCAACAAACAGTATTCCAGGCTGGAAAATCCTTCTTACCTTCCCTACAGGACCTGCGGAAGGTCAGGGTGGAGTCCATCTCGTTTTTAATCTTGATCAGAGCATCAAGCACCATGGGCCCACACCTAAACCAGAAAACAGGGTCAGTTCACCTGGAGAATCCCCCCAGACTCAGGGCTGGGCTTCTGGCACCCCAACTAAGCAGCACCTAAAAGGGTTTTGGATCAGCTACAATTAATACACATTTTTTGGCAATCCCAGGCAATAAAACAGAGATTTCCTGCTGAGGGTGGGAGTCAAACCCTTTCTCCTGCCGATGCCCTGAAGGTTCAGACAGCACAACTCAATCCCAAGTGCCTTGGACTGGTTCTCTTTGCTTTTGGGTCAGGCTTTAACAAGTCAGTCTGTCCCCATTAGTCACAAGAGACACACAAAACCAAACAGTCGTGGACAACTTCTGTAATTTTCTATCCAGCAGACAGGGCAACACCCAGAAATTATCCACCAGTGCAAGTCACACAGAAATCTGAGTCCTCTGTCACGGGGTTCTTAAGTAGGGGCTGGGGAATTTGTGTGGAACTCCTGGAAAGGGCTCGGGGTGAATTCCTGGGGCAGGAGCACGGCACCAGCTGGAGCTCAGGGAAATGCAGGATGTGTCCAGGAGAAGGTTTCTGCACCACAGGGAATCTGAACCCCTTCCCAGAATCACAGGGAAGCAGGAGCTGTCTTTGGGATCCCACACCAAAGTGTGAAGGTGGTTCCTACAAGGTTAATATGGCCTCAAAATTAGAGGCAACTCAGTGGGAATAAACTTCCACCTTCTCTCCCAGCTCTGGGACTGGGACTTACACATGGAGTGTCCTTTTGGAACACTGAGTCCCAGGATGGTTTGGCTTGGGAGGGACCTTAAAGACCATCCAGTGCCACCCCCTCCATGGGCAGGGACACCTTCCACCAGCCCAGGTTGCTCCAAGCCCCGTCCAACCTGGCCTTGGACACTTGCAGGATGGGGCAGCCACAGCTTCTCTGGGCAACCTGTGCCAGGGCCTCCCCACCCCCAGAACCAGGAATTCCTTCCCAATATCCCACCTAAATCTCTCCCCTTTAGTTTAAAACCACATCCCCTTGTGGTACCACCTGCCCATGTAAAAAAATCACTCTCCCTCTTTTCTAGAAGCCCCAAAACTTTCCACATAAATAAAGAGTATTGAAGTCTTCAAGTCTTCAGCACAACTCAGGGACACAGATAAAACCTCACAAAAGTCTCAAAACAAAGTGACCATTCCCTACTGGGACATTGGCACTCGGGGCACAGTTTATTTGTCACACACAGGTGAGGGATGGGCAAACAACCCCACAAAACCACAGTAAAATTTGTTATATAACTGATTATATTATCAGGGAATTTTTATTAATTATATTAAAAAGATGTATTATTTTAAAATATACATTATATGATCTATTATATAATGGTATAGAAATATATATTATATAATTATACATAAGTATATAATGTATTCTATAATTCTATAGAAATACAAAAAACATTATATAATTTTAAAGACATCTATTCTATATTATAAAATTTTATAGAACTATATCTTCATATATTAAAATATATTAAACCCAAAACATATTAATTATACTACCAATAAATCATTTGTAATAACAAAATTATTATTCATTAATCATTGAAATTTATTCTCTTATCAGTACATACCATCAGTGTCCCCTGTGCTGAAGACAAGTGAGCAGCACTTCCAGGGCCACTCCAAGCTTTTATCATTCCCTGGAGCTCAGTGAGCTGCTGACACCTTTAGCACCTGGAAAAGCTCTTCCCGCAGGGAATACTCACTTGTTGAGGTCCACCTCGTAGGTCTGCATGCGGGGTTTGTCCCCAGCTTTGTCGGGGTCCCATCTGTAGATGGCAAATTTCTTGAGCCGTGGTGCTGCCGCCGCCGCCGTCTGGGCTCCCCGGCACTCCTGGATCCGGCACTCCTGGATCCGCAGGGAAAACTGCCCTCAGCTCCCTCCACGGGCCTTGGGGCCAGGGAACAGGGTGACAGGAGGCAGCACTGCTTTGTATTTGGGGATTTGGAGAGGTTTGGGAACATCCTGACAAGGATTTGTGGCAGTGGTGTAACCCAGTGATGCAACCCCCCCCCCCCCATCCTGGGGCTCCCTCCTCCATGGGGTACTGGAGATAATCCTAAAATTAAGGGGCTCCCACAGGTGTTCCTGCAGGCACCGTGGCCTTCAAACCCTGCAGGCTCTCCCTGCCCCCAAATTACCTACAGAAGTTCCTAAATACTCCCTACCCAGCTCCAGGCCAACAAACCACCTCCTCCCGCTATTCCCCCAGGGAGCTTCTTCCTCCTCCAGGCCACCTTCCCATCTCAGATTTCCCTAAATCACTCCACATCCCTATTCCTCCTGTTCCCACACCTCTTCCCAACCCCTTTCTGGTGCATTTCTCCTTCTCCCAATTTCCTGTCAACCTTTATCTCCCCCTAAACCATTCCCAGACCCTTTCCTGCTTCTCTTTGCCCCCAGACCCTCCTCAGCATCCCCCTCACCGACCCTCTTCCCCCTCAGCTCATCCTCCTTTTCCCACCCACTCTTCCCACCTTTTAGCCCATCCTGGACCCCCTCCAGCCCCCTGCCCAGAGCCCCCTCTGCCACCCCTCACCTCCCTTCCCAAACTCCCTCCAGCCCCCTCTGCCACTGACCCTCTTGTCCCGCAGCCCACCCCCTTCTCCCCTTTTACCGCATCCCAGACCCGTCCAGCCCTCTCAGCCTCCTCTCCCATCCCTCCCCTCCTGTCCATTCCCAAATCCCACAGACCCTCTTCAACTCCCACACATCTCCCCCAACCGCCTCTGCCACTGATCCACTTCACACCCGCCTTCTCCCACCGACTCCTCCCTGTTTCACCGCATCCCGGACCCCGTCCTGCCCCACAGCCCCTGCCCAGAGCCCCTTCTCCCACCCCTTCCCTCCTGCCCATCCCCAGCTCCCACACATTCCCCCCAACTCCCTCTGCCACTGATCCTCTTCCCACTGCCCTTCTCCCACCCACTCTTCCCATCTTACCCCGCACCCCGGACCCCGTCCTGCCCCACAGCCCCCTCCCTCCATCCCCCTCTCCCACCCCTCACCTCCTTCCCCTCCTGCCCAATCCCAAATCCGACACACCCCTTCCAGCCCCCCATCTCTCTCCACAGTCCCTCCAGCCTCCCCTCTGCCCCCTGTCCCTCCTCCCCGCGCCTCCCCCCCGAGCCCCCCAGCTCCCTCACCGCCCGCGGCCCGGCCCGCAGGAGCTGCGCGGGGACGCGGTGCCTCAAGGAGACTCCGAGCGCGGCCGCCGCCATCTTGGCGCTGCGCAGTTCCGAGCCCGCCGGAAGTGACCCCGGCGCCGCCATGTTGTGCGCTGAGGGGGAGGCGGGCGCCCTCCGCCATCTTGGGTGCGGCGGCGGCCTCAGGGCAGGCGCCATGTTGAGTGTGGCGCGCCCTGCGGTACAAAGCGGGCTGGCGGGGCCAGGACACCTAAATCCCTCCTTTTTTTTGGGTGTGAATCCCACAAAAATGACCCCTTGTTTTTTTCATCATTAATTCCCGGCCTCATTGCATTTGCACGGAGGTGCCCACACCCTCCCCTCACACAGGGGACCTGCCCCAACACCAAGCGGGGCAAAATGGCGGGTGCGGGGGGTTGAAGAATGACAGAACCATTGGGGTTGGAAAAGCCCTCCCAGATCATCAAGTCCAACCTGTGACCGATCCCCCCCTTGTCACCCAGACCATGGCAATTAGTGCCATGTCTAGTCTTCCCTTAAACAGCTCCAGGGACGGCGATTCCACCACCTCCCTGTGCAGCCCCTTGCAAAAAAATGCCACCCCCTCCTCTGAGGGCTTCTGTCCCTTTCTCTCACGATTATTACCCATTATTATTGAATTTCACGACTTTTTCCTCACAGCAAGTTTATTTATGAAGTGAGTTGTGACCAAAACATGCCGAAAAAGCCACTGGGGGCAAAGGTGGAGGGAAGAAGAGAACAAGGAGGAGGAGGGTGAAGAAGAGCAAGAGGAGGAGGCGAAGGTCTCAGTATTGTTACCAAACAAGTTTTTTTTTAAAAAGGAGTTTATGCAGCAGTGGGGGAAATGCTGAGAGATTTAATCCATGGAATAGATGAGGGATGACAGGCAAGCTATGGGTGATGTCCATGTGTTAGAAAAACAAAAGTTTGGGGCTTGATGTACTTTGGTGTTCTCAGACCTGGGGGAGGAAGGTTAACAAAGCCTAGGAGAGAAATTTATTGTTGAGACTTGGACACCAGGAATGTAGGATTTATAAAGCACAAAGACACAGAAACCAGAGATGAAGAGCAAACTACCAAAGACCATTACTGAGACTCTCCCTATATGGGAAAGAGATAATAAAAAGACTGAAAATTAGCATGAGAAGCAAAAAATCAACAACAAATAGAAGATAGAATACTAATTAATTAGGAGAACTGTGTAACTTGTAAACCAATGGACACCAATTCCTTAATTTGCTAGAATTTATAAATAGTTGAAAGTTTTGATAACTGATGTACATGCTTTGTGGAGTGTTCTCCATGTACCTCAGTGTTGATTAACATTGACTTTCCAATCCAACAAACTGGTTAGAGAGTTTATTTCACAATTTTTGGTGACATGGTTGTTCCTTGAACACCTCCAAGGATGATGATTCTACCACCTTCCAAAAACTTCTACCCTCCCAAAAAAATTGCCCCCTCACCCCTCTGAGGGCTTCCCTCCCTTTCTCACGCAATTACTACCCATTCTTATTTATTTTCATGACTTTTTCCTCACAGCAAATATATTTATTAAGTCAATCACAAGCAACACACACTGAAAAAGCCACTGGGGAGGAGGGAGGAGAGAGAAGGAGGAGGAAGAGGAGGAGGAGGAAGAGGAGAAGAAGGTCTTGCTATGGCGTGAAGTGCCACCATTTGAAGGTGAAGGGCCGTCGCTGGACGTTGGTGCCGCACCGGACCTCGCCCAGGCTGCCGTGGTAGGAGGCCACCTCCTCGAGGAAGCGGCAGCTCAGACCCAGCGGCTCCAGGAGGGAGCGGATCCGCTGCTCCAGGCAACATTCCCCCGCCGTCACGGGGCCGAAGGGTTTGGGGATGCCCAACTCCTTGGCCAGGACGATCATGGTGACCTGTGGGGTGACACCGGGGGAGATCAGTGGCGTCGGGGTTGATGACAGCCGAGGGAAGGTGTTGGTCACCCTCCTCCATCAGCCCCAGCCCTCAGCCCATCAACATTGATTTCTGCAGCCACCCTCCCACAGAATTCCAAATCCAACATAATTTCCCCTTTTTTTATCATTAAAACCTACCTCACAATCGCAATTTCACTGCTTTGAGAGGGTTTTTGCCTAAAACCCCACTGAAAGCAGCGCAAAGCCACAAAGTTATGTTAGGCCTGCTGAATGGAGATATTTCCTTTTTCTAGACAGCTGATTTGTTTTGGGACAACTTTAGGGACTCATCCTGGCTGATTAAGCTGGTTTTTGGAGAGGACCTGAGGAGTGGGAACCCCCTCACCGTGTTGGGGAAATATGGCACAGCTTTGCCCTGCTTGTCGAGCTTGAAGAGGGCGGGCAGGTCGATGATGTCCTCCTCCATCAATCCCAGCTCCTTCTTGAGGATATCCCTGTTCCAGTCGATGCAGCGCTGGAGGGGATGGAGAAGGGCGGGTTGAGGGGGGGACACACATGGGCACAGTCCCTCAAACCATCTCATGCAGGAGAAGAGCCAAAATACACCACCTCCCTTTGCACCACCCTGGGGCAGTTTTTGCAAGAAATATGAATTATTACCAAAAATGTCAGTTCTTACCTGGACATACTGGTTCTGCTGCGCCAGGATGTCATTGGAAAGGACCTTGTTAATGGTGACTCGTTTCGTGTCTGTCCCCGAGTAGCCTAAAAATGCAACGTCCCATCAAAATGAAGCCTGGCTTAGGGTGGGGTACAGAGATGGATAGAGTCCCCTGTATCCCAGTTTCCTGAGCTTGGAGTAGGGCTGCTGGAGTCACAATTTTTAGTGTATTGGGAAAGTGAGGGAAGAAAAGCTCTGCCCATTGGAAAGAGCACTGGAAAGGTCTTGTCATCCATCTTCCTGCCCACAGGAATCATTCTCTGCTGAATTTCTCCAGACCATCCACCGCCAGGATTTGGATCCACCCCCTGGTTTGGGGCCGCCTGGGTCTTCTCAGTGACCTTGAGGGACCCGTGGAGATATGGAGACGTGCTTCCAACCCCATCACGGATCAAAATCCCAAAGAAAGGATTCCCAAAGCGACAAAACGGTGCTAATTTGGGTAACGTGAGAGCCACCAGTTGTCCCACTCCTTGCTGGAGCTCCGCTGGCATTTGGAGATGCTCCATCCCACCAACCAAGCATCCCCTCCATGCAGAGGGCTTTATCCCTGCCATCCCACTCACTTCCCAAAATAGGCTGTGAGGAGGCTGAGGGTGGTGGGCGGGCATCCCGTTTGCCAGCTGTGAAGGACAACCGGGTGGGACGATGTCCCCACGTGGCCCTGAGTCCCCCTGTCCCTCTGGCTGCCCTCAGCTCGGCTGCTGCGGCTCCACTGACACCAAACCCACCCAGAGCCACCTGTGTCCCCTTGCCTTTGAACATGGTGGCTTCTCCCTGGCCTTCCTTCTGCTTCTCCCGGAAAAGCTTGTAGCACGCGGCAGGACTGGCCATCAGCATCCGGAATCGCTGTGGGAAGGCGGGAAGAAGAGGAGTCACCCAGAGGGAATTTTCCAGAGCCTCGGGAGACCCCAGGAACTTACTTTTGCAAAGAACCTGTGCTAAAACTCTTCGAATTAGGTGTCTTTGCTGCTATTTAGTGCCTTTTTTAATGCTTGGAGGGTTTGTGGGGAACGTGTGACTTTTTCGAGTCATCCAGGTCAAGGCTTGGTTTTCTAAGGGAAAAGTCTTGTGTCAGGGTTTCCCTGAGGGAAAAACCTGTATCAGAAGCAGCAAAAACCGTGATAGAGGAAAGAGAAATGTTCTGGAAATATCTGGGAGAAGCTGAGCTGCTGGAAATCTCCAGGCTCATGGATTTGCATGGGAATCTTGAGGTTTAAATTTCTTGGACTACCTGTGCAGGCATCGTTTTCCTTCTGTTTCTGTTAATTATTCGCTCAGCAAGTCCCTTTTTGTGCTCAGATCCCTCATTTTGGGGACAGGAGTGAAACCCAAGAAATGAGTTTTGGGGTTTTTCCTACAGGTGACCTAATAGGATTTAGTATCTTGGAAGAGGAACACCAAAGGGATGTGGGATCTTGGGGTACCTTTTTGTCCGAGGTGGGCACGAACGTGAGGAACTCGTTGACGTTGCCCACAGCCAACCAGTCAGAGTAGAGCTCCACGGGAGCCTGGACTCGCTGGGCATGGAGGAAATCCCTCACCATCCTGGTCATCCTCCTCCCTGCGGATCTGGGAGTGAAATCCCCGAGAGAGGGAATGCGAGGATAAGGATTTATCCATCAACATGTACTCAGACATAAATTGCCACCAAGATGGAGGAGACTGAGCACACCCACCCCTTTCACAGCCACTCAGGGAAGGTCTAATTAACCCAATTAACCCAATTAACATTAATTTGATAATATTTCGGGGCTCTTGTGGTTCCTTTGCTCCCGAATCCGTGTGTTCCCCATGCCTTACGTGGGGAAGCTGCTGCCGATGAGGATCCTGCCCAGGGGATACTCCTTCCCCCCCACGGACACAGGTGGACTGACCTCCAGGTTGCCGAAGGAGTCGAGGCTGGTGATGGCTTCAAAGAGGGGCTCCTTGTGCACATACCCGAAATCAGAGCCCTGGGAAAAGAGGGATCACTGCCCTGAGTCCCTCCTGCCTCCGGGGTTTGATCCTCCAGCCGGGGTCAGACCTGCTCCACTGGGTAAACACAGCAAGAGGAGGCCCGTCCATGGGTGAGGAGAGGGGAAAGGAAAGGCGAGAGGAGAAAGGTCTCTGGGTCATGGAGGCTCGGGAATAAACGGCAAAATCCAGGAGCAGAGCTGAGGTGTTGAGATCCCAGATCTCCTCTGCTATCCCATAGCCAAGAGTTAAGTGTCCACATTAGGCTAATTAGTGCTGGGGCAGCCCCGGAGCGGAGCTTCTGGATGGCTCTTCCTGAGTGGGATGAACTGCAGCCCCTGAGGGTGAGTCCCAGAGCCACCCAAAGGGCTGTACGGCACTTAAATCCTGCTTAAGCCCTGATTTCCAGGTCTTAATATATCTGGGACTGAGGGTGTCGTGAGTGCAGGGTAATTAACTCTTGGCTGTGATGTGTCAAAGCCCAAGGGGGAGATTGT